AACAAACAACCCAGTGAAGAAATGGGCAGAAGACATGAACAGACACTTCTCCAAAGAGGACATCCAGATGGCCAACAGACACATGAAACGATGCTCAGCATCCCTCCTCATCAGGGAAATACAAATCAAAACCACACTGAGATACCACCTCACGCCAGTCAGAGTGGCTAAAATGAGCAAATCAGAGAACTCTAGATGCTGGCGAGGATGTGGAGAAACGGGCACCCTCCTACACTGTTGGTGGGAATGTAAACTGGTACAGCCCCTCTGGAAAACAGTGTGGAGGTTCCTCAGGAAACTAACAATAGAACTCCCCTATGACCCAGCAATAGCACTGCTAGGAATTTACCCAAGGGATACAGAAATGCTGAGGCATAGGAGCACATGTACCCCAATGTTCATAGCAGCACTCTCCACAATAGCTAAAACATGGAAAGAGCCTAAGTGTCCATCAACAGATGAATGGATCAAGAAGATGTGGTTTATCTATACCATGGAATACTACATGGCAATGAGAAACAATGAAATCTGGCCATGTGTAGCAACATGGATGGACCTTGAGGGTGTTATGCTGAGCGAAATAAGTCAGGCAGAGAAGGACAAATATCATATGTTTGCACGTATAGGAGGATTAGGAGGAACTTGACGGAGGAACAAGGGGGAGAAGAAGGGGGGAAATGGTGGGGGAAAGGGAGAGAGGCAAACCATGAGAGACTCTTGAATGCTGACAAAAACTGAGGACTGATGGATGTCGGGGGGAGGGGGGATGGGCATGGAGGAGGGCACTTGTGGGGATGAGCACTGGGTGTTATGTGGAAACTAATTTGACAATAAACTATTTGTAAAAAAAAATGAAACAGAGAAAAAAAAAGATGTTCTAGAAAAAGGTATCATGTACTAAGAGAGATTTCTAATTTGGGAATTTCATCACGCAGTGAAAACACTGTCTAATAAGCAAACTGAAAGAATCAATAGGTCAGAAAACAGCTTTAACTGACCTCCAGAAACCTGGAAATAAGGTGTGACAGAACAAAGGGTTCAAGCTCTGCCATAAAAGCTTGTCTGGTGACCTGCGTGCATGAGGAAGTCACCCTCCAGGACCCTTAAAGGCTGGCACTGACCTTCAGCCAAGAATATGAAATAGCTAAGTGATTCACAACATGCTCTTCCAAGTCTAAAATTCCTCTGGAGTCCCTTGTCTAATTTGTTTAGGAATATAGAGACTTGATAACTTACACTGGTTTAACTGTACACAGCCCTGTTTTAGGTGTGTGACCAGTAGGGCATAAAAGTCCACCTGGTAAACTTGTGCCTTGGCTCTCCACTCTACAGATGAAGCATATTTTGTATAACTGAAAGGACCCTGACAATGAAAAACAGAGAGCTTTCCCCCTGAGGTCTAGGATATCCACTTTCACCACTTCTATCCAACATGGTACTGGCAGTCCTAGTCACAACAATCAGACAACAAAAAGAAATAAAAGGTATCTGAAATGGTAAGGAAGAAGCAAAACTCTCACTATTTGCAGATGACATGATACTATATGTATAAAACCCTAACTCCACCAAAAAAATTACTAGAACTGAAAAATGAATTCAGTAAAGTTCCACTGTACAAAACCAATGTACAGAAATCTGTTGCATTCTTATACACTAATACTAAAGCAGCAGAGAATGGAATTAAGAAAACAATCCTATTCATAAATGCACCCAAAACAATAAAATAGCTATGAATAAACTTAACCAAAGAGGTGAAAAACCTGTACTCTGAAAACTGTAAAACACCGTTGAAAGAAATTCAAGACCATGCAAAGAATAGAACAGAAAACTCGGAAATAAACCCACAAATACATGCTCAATTAAGCCTCAACAAAGAAGGAATGAATATACAGTGTAAAAAGACAGTGCATTCAACAAATGGTGTTGAGAAAATTGGACAGATACATGCAAAACAATGAAACTGGACGCCTTTCTTTCATCATATACAAAAATAAACTCTAAATGGATTAAAGGCTCAAATGTAAGACCTGAAATCATAAAAATCCTTAAAGAGAGCACAGCAAGTAATTTCTCTGACATTGGCTACAGCAACAGTTTTCTAGATATGTCTCCTGAGACAAGGGAAATAAAAACAAAAATAAGCTACTGGGACTACATCAAAATAAAAGGTTTCCACACAACAAAGAAAATAGAAAAACTAAAAGGTTACCTACTAATTGGGAGAAGATATTTGCAAATGACATGTCTGATAAAGGATTAGTATCCAAAACATATAAAGAACTCATATAACTCAGCACCCAAAAAAACAAACAATCCAATTAAAAATGGACAGAAAACATGAACAGACATTTCTCCAAAAAAGATATCCAAATGGCCAACAGACACATGAAAAGATACTCAACATCACTCATCCTTAGGGAAATACAAATCAAAACTATAATGACATACCACTTCACACCTGTCAGAATGGCTAAAATCAACAACACAAAAAACAAGAGGTGTTGGTGAGGATGTAGAGAAAAAGGCACCCTTGTGCACTGTTGGTAGGTATGCAAACTGGTAGAGCCACTGTGGAAAACAGTAGAGGGGGTTTCTCAAAAAAGTAAAAATAAACCTATTCTAGGATCCAGTAGTAGCAATGCTGGGTATTTACTCCCAAAATACAAAAACATTCATTCAGAGGGATACTTGCATCCCTATGTTTACAGCAATATTATTTACAATATCCAAACTATGGAAGCATCCCAAGTGCTAACTGATAGATGAATGGATGAAAAAAATGCGGTATATACATATGCAGTAGACTATTATTCCACCATCAAAAATAATGAAATCTTGCCACCTGTAACTACATGGATGGATCTAGTGTATTACGCTAAGCAAAATAAGACAGTCAGAGAAAAGGCAGATACCATATGATCTCACTCATATGTGGAATTTAAGAAACAAAACAAATGAGCAAAGGTTAAAGAGAGAGAGAAAGACAAACCAAGAAACACTCTTAATTATAGAGAACTCTACCCAGGGGAGCTGGGTGGGTAGATGGGTGAAATAAGGGATAGGGATTAAAGAGTACAATTATGATGAAAACTAACAATAATAATAATAATAATAATAATAATAATAATAAAGGAAAAGAACACAGAGAGCTATGCCTGGAAGTCTTGAACTTCTCTGCTGTTTGCCTGTGCTTTCTTTCTCTTGCTATGCAACCTCTTCTAGTTTAGCAAGGCCCTGCACAAGCATACCCTATGGTGTTCTGTGAGTCTTTCAATGATCCAGCCTATACAACTGAGGAATTAACTAATAAGCCTAGTTAACCACTGCCTGTCTTATCCTGGAACTAACTCACTTTGGACAGAGATGCAGGTAGGTCTGTTGGTTCACACCAAACCAGTGACTTTTTGTGGCTCTCTCTGTGATGGGCCCCTCAACAAGAACATTACTAACTGGAAAATAACTCGTTTGGGAAAGCTGTTTTACAATAAAGGTTATCTGAGACGCCTATTATGGTAGCACCATAAGGCATCTGACTTCCCAGAAATGCTTTCAGAAAAAGGTTCTTCAGGCTCAGCAGAGGCTTAACTGAAGTATTACTATAATATTCTTATTTCATGAGTCCCTGAAGTCAAAATGAAAAGTCTCAAGCTTGGTAGTCCTCAGGTTCTTCTTCATGGGAGGGACAGGATGGGGATATGAATTCCTTTCTGTCACTTTCTATCAGATATCGAAAATCTGCAGTCACCTCCATAGTCTCTCATTCTCTGGGTCTGGAGATGTGGGGGCACTCTGGGAAACAACAATGGTTTGCAAGACCTCAAACCATATCTCAATGTCTTAATTTTAATGAACATGAGATCCCTGGCATGCTTTGGCAAAGTACAGATTCAAGTTCCTATACTGGTGATTCTAAATCAGTAGGTGTGAGACATAGCCCAGAAAGCTGCATTTTCAATAAGAGCTGATAGGAACTTCAGTTTGGAATAGAATGCCCTTGGGCGATGTGAGTATGTCTTGTTGAATGTCTAATATTGGATGGAGACTGGGAGAAGTGTCTTGGTGCACAAAACTCTGCAGGGACACTTGCCACCCAGGCATCAGGGGTGACTAAGCCAGGTCCATCTATCTCTTTGCCTCCTGGCCCACATAAGGAGAAGCTGGTGAGTACTGCTTTACTGTCACCTCTATTGGGTACAGAGAAAAAACAGCTTTGTCCCAGTTCTAAAGTTAAACCCAGGCTGAGGAAGAATGCTTTTGCAGAGTAAGAAGTACCCCTTGTTTCAATGTAGAACTAGGAGAAGCTACTATGCCGAAGTCTGGAGTGATCCTTGCAGTGAAAGATTTAATTCTAAATTGGGTTATTACATTTAGACTAAATGGGGACTCTCTCCCTGATCCTGAAAAGGAAAGTCAACAGATAATGAGTAAATCCCAGTAAAGCCAGTAAATAATGAGTAAATAACAAGCAGCTCTGGGCCCCTAGCCAGGCAGGCTGGCTGGGCACACACACACATATCAGAATAATGTATTCATTTTAAGGTTGTTTTTACTCCACATGCCCTGAAGCTTATTTCTAAACTTCAATAGTTCAGCCTCTTTGACATTCTTCTTCAGGTACAACAAATGCTTGGACCATAATATGCAACTGCTTACTAACTGCTCTTGCTTTAAAAAAAAAAAAAAATTGAACTCAATTTTGAGTTATATTACCACAAAAGAAAAGAGCTTACTCAGTAAACACTATTTTTGAGAAACAGGTGCTTCATCATTTTAAACATAGTATTTTTTCCCTCTTTAACAAACTGGCTACAACTCCCTTTCTCTAAGGTACTTAACACTGTGTTACCAGAGAAGGACAACTTTTACAAAAATATTAGTAGATAACAAATTTTGGGAGAGCATATTGCACAGTAAGAAGAAATGTCTTTTTTCCCAGAATAATTCTGATGCAATTGTTACCTGAATTACAGGCTAGATACTTCTTCACACAGAAAACTTACCTTCTCTTTTCCAACTGGTTTGGCTACAAATGTAGAGAAAGCCACACTAACAAGTTTCTCAATACCAGTGAGCATGTCCTGTACTATCACCTTGATGCTGATCTAAAATGAAAAGAAAAATAAATAAGTAAATGTTCAGCCATCCAGATAACAGATGTGATCACAGCAATAAAAATTCAGTTATGCATTTCACTGTTCTTTTGTTTTTTAATGAAATCAGCATTTTAATTTGTTTTTAAGCAATACTTTTCTCTCAGTGATGTTTCATAAAATTAAAACATAACTTTTTTCCTGGGGCACCTGGGTGGCTCAGTTGGTTGAGAGTCCAACTCTTGATTTTGGCTCAGGTCATGATCTCATGGTTAATGAGCTGACAGCGTGAAGCCTGCTTGTGATTCTCTCTCTCCTTCTTTCACTGCCTGTCCCCTGCTCATGCTTTTCATCTCTCTCTCAAAATAAATAAACTAAAAAGACTCCTTTTTTCTTATAAAAAATACATATTTGCCGTGGCAAATTTGGTAAACATAAAAACAGATAAATGATAAAAATGGAATCTGATTACCCAGAGTGAAACTTATTAGTAATCTCACTACCCAGATTAATAATCACTAATGTTTAGGTGAATTTCCTTCTAGTTTTATGTGTGTGTACATATGTATATAAAATCATCATACTGTATTTACAGTTTTATGTCATAATTTTTAAACCTGGCATTATCTGACAAGCATTTTCTAATCCCGTTATTACTATACATGCTTTTGAAAACGATATATTAATGAATGCCTTGTAGACCATTAGAGAGCACTAAAGAGATGTACCATAACTTTTTTTAATCTTCAGTCTCCAACTTTTATAAACGAGTTAACACAGACAAACTGCATCATGTTATTTGTAGCTTTGTCGCCTTTTTCAGAAATTTTATATTTCAGGAAGAGAAAGAATGTGGCTAGGACACTTTTTGGTGACACTAAGGTATCCCTGTGGGAAACGGTCTGAAGCTTAGGTCCTGAGGATTCCACTTTGTAAAAGTATTGGTAAACTCAGGAATCTGTCATTAGATTTTGGCTATGACACACTTGCCTCACATATCCCTGATATGTAACACTATTTTCCTGGACTCATGGGCAACCTCAGGCCTCTTAGTTTAACACTGTGTTATCAATGACAGACAACAGCTGTTTCTACATCTTCACCAACTACCTCATGTACAAAAATAATCAATAATCCATAATTCATTTTACATTACTTACCTTATGAATGAAAACAGATATCTGCATGGTAACACCCAAGTTAACTTGATGGTGATTAACCAAATTTAAACCATCCATTCTCAACCCCACAATCCTGGAGAGTTTAAATGAGTTCCGAACACTATCTTCTGTTAGAACAGTTAACTTAGTTACGTATGATGACCAAATGTCTCAGAAACATATACAAGGGGGATTTTCACTTTGTGTCATGAAAGAGCAGGTCAAACTGGAATTACATCCTGCAAAAACAACTAGAAAACTGACCCAAGTACAGGAAGCAACCACTTTCACACAGAGGATCACAGACAATGTAGAACTGTCATTCCTGAGAAGAGGGAAACAGATAAGAGGAGCACTTGAATTTCTGGGGCTCTCATCCAGAAGTGAGTCCCAGAGTATGACCTAGGAGGGGAAACTGAACCTGCCTGAATTGAGGAGCCAGAAATCAAGGAGACTAAGGCAGCTGAGATTTGTAGGCAATTCCAGGAAAAAATGGAACTACAAAAGGAAAGAATTCCAAAAATACGTGCATAGTCCTGTTAAGTGTTTGGGTTGAGGCCAGTCTGAGCATGCACAGGGTGGAAGTTTACAAGGCCAGACAAGAGCACCGTGTGAGGCAGAAACGATTCCTGGGGAGTGTAACATGAGCAATCCCAAGAACTCATGCAGAACTGAGAGTCTGGTGTTCCCGCCAACCAGACCTCACTGAATACAGAACATATGGAAAGACCACAGAGGACTTCAACTTGGAAGAGGGGCTAAATTAGGACTAGTCAAGGCTAGGATTACAGATCAGAAATCTGTGCTTTTAGAGGTGCCTGTATGGCTTAGTCAGTTAAGTGTCTGATTCCTCATGTCAGCTCGGGGCATAATCTCATGGTTCATGAGATCGAGCCCTGTATCAGGCTCTGTGCTGACATCTCTCTCTCTCTCTCTCTCTCTCTCATTCACTCAAGAAAAATATAAAGATTTAAATAATAAATCTATGCTTTTAAACTCACTGGGTTTTTCTTTTCTTTTCTTAGCTTTTAGTCAAATTTCCTTTGGAAATTCTAGCTTGTCTCACGAATAGGAGGAAAAGAAGCACTTATCCATGTTTGGGCTGAATATAAAGTAGAGTGCTAGCCTGCAGTAGGGAGGCCAAGCCCAGAGGCTACTGTGTGGCAAAGGTCTGGAGCCCACACCTGAGAAAGAACCATCACAACTGTTGCTGACAGAGCTGGCTTTTGACACAAACATTTCCTTTCTGATTTCAAGTGTTTTATATTCTGTTCATACGGATACTGGGGAGAAGTGACTAACTCAGGGTAAAGCTGTCACCATTAGGCATGGTTATTGCCAAATAGTTCTGTTGAATAGGAATGTGGCCTTATAATTTGGCCTTATTTTGGAAACAGCTTGGTTCAGATGTAATTGGTTAATTTGGGGTCATACCAGAGGGGGGTGGGCTCCTAGTCCAATGTGACTGATGTCCTTATAAAAAGGGGGAATTTGGACACAGACATACACACCCTGAGAACACCATGTGAACATGAAGGTAGAGATCAAGGAGATGCAGCGGAAGCCAAGACAAATCACCAGAAGAGAGCACTGGGGCACAATCTCTCACACAGCCCTCAGAAAGAACTGACCCAATGGACTCCTTGATTCAGGACTTCTAGCCTTTAGAGCCATGAGACAATAAATATCTGCTGTTTAGGCCTTCTGGTCTGTGGTATTCTGCTATGGTGGCCCTAACAAACAAATACAAGTCCCTACATGTCTTTTGTCCCCAAAGATCAAAGGGACTGCTGCTAACCAACTCAGAAGTTGCAAAATGGGATCCAGTAACTCCTTTCTTGCTAGTTTAACTAGAACAGAGATCTCAAAAGCTCCTGAGAATGTTGCATTCACATTTATGGTAAAGAAAATAAAACCGAGTGGATGAAAAAGAAAAATCTTCTAAACTTCCCTTCTCACTTCAGTTATTCTTTCAAAAACTAGTTAATTATGGGGCTAGTTTCCAGTAGAGGGTGAAGAGATGGAGACCAAGTAGAGTCAGAATAATTAAGAAATAAAACCCATGGCTTGTAAAGAACCAAGAGAGTGTCCTTCTCCCTTATATGTTTACTTCCTATGTATCCTTTTATATAAAAATAATGCATTGCATCACATTTAATTTTAGTAGAAGAGTTGACTAGGAAACTCAAGGGCCTTATCATTTATCTGTGATACTGACTACAGGTTCAAGTGCCTTCCGAAATTCGGAATCTCATGAACTCCAAATTATACCAGGCCTCCTGCTCTGCCCTCTGTAGAAAAGAGAACACTGAGAAGCAGAAGTCAGAAAAGAGGTCTCTTACCTCCATGCTTGTGCTGAACGCTCTGGTAACTTTCGCTTTGATGGTTATCACTTGTCCAACTCTAGTTAAAAAAAGAGGGAGAGACTTTAGTAATCCTAGCACATCTCATTTCAGACCTAAAGATTCACTTAAATGCATATGCAGCCCCTCCTTATCACGCTGATAATGATTATGCATGAAACTTGAGGTTAATGATAACAGAAAGAGACAGCTCTACAAACAGATGCCAGTCATTGTAAACCACATGTATGCTGGCTGACTACTTCTATTCAAACAGAAAGGAGCCCTCGCATAGATGGTGTGCAAAATGACTTCCACAGTCTGCAGCAGATACTTTGATTATATCACAGCTATTTCCTTAAGAGAAGTTGAAACAGACAAGCAAACCTATACAAATGACATTTCTTTTTTAGATGTTTGTTAACAAATAAATGGAGAAACATACAAACAAGCAAGCGAGCAAATTGATCAACTTCACAAGGTTTACGTGGACCCTCAGTGCTGCTGGATGATCCATTCAGTCTTCATGATTACAGGGATTCTGGTCATATAGTCTGAAGTTGTTCCAACTTTCTGTGTTCAGTCCCCCAGTTAATTTTGATCTTTTAAACTCAGCAGAAGGTAAGGGTCTTCCTAAGGTAATCCTCCTCAATTTTTCTCCCTTACTTTCAAACTTGAACTATATTCTCATGTTTCTTCTCCTTATTCTGTTTCAGAGGAACATTAGATCTCTTTCAGACCTCTTTCTATACCTGCATCCTTGACCAATCCCCTTGTTACCTCTTCTCAGGTAACAAGCCACTATGGCCAGTTTAGTCAGCTCTTTCCTCATTTGTACCCTCATCGTCTGCCCCTTCCCGGACTCTCCTTGCCAGTCTATGAAAATGTCGAAGCCTTCTTCTTTGTAAAAACGTTTCTCTCAGGTCTATTCTATATTAAATTTTTCTCTTCTCCATATTCACACTTCCTAAAATACTCATTTCTTTTCCTAACTCACAGATTTAAGAAATGTATACTGAGTTACAACTAGTACTGCCATTAAGCTAAAACCTCAGGATACAGTGATGAGTAAGCTGAGGCTCCTGACTTTAAGGAGACCAATCTTCACTTAGGACACCAGGATGTAAACAGACGAAGTGCAATGCCATGAAATTTTTCAAAAGAAAGGATCTAGTATTACAACGGCAACCATAAAAAGAGGCTGATTCAGAAAACTGGTAAAGGGGTCACAGAAGAGGTGACATTTGAGATGGGTCTTCTGCCGGAGTCTTGCTCTAGCTGGTCCAGGGGTCCCTGAAGGATGGACGGTGTCAGTGAGTGATGAGAGAGGCACGAGATTCTTTCTGTTCACCAGCCAGGCCTCTCTGCACTGTCTGAGACTCAACTTTATTTTATGATTAAGTGTTTGGGGGACGGCACAAAAGTAGCATTCTGATGATAAATTCTTTGATCAGTAAAAACTTTCCAGAACATTGATATGCATAGGTGTATGGGGAACAGACCAGAAGTGGCAATCAAATATAAACAGATGGTTTTAGTGTAGTAAAAGCAAAAGTTAGTTCTTTGTGGCCAGGGTCAATAGCCTGTTTATTGCTTAACTGGAAGTATTAAAAACAGGTTTTTCAGGAAACTCAATGTTTGTTCCCATAACCATAAAGGAAAGCATCTAAACATTAGCCACAGGGTTTATAGTTCCTATAACGTCATCCATGCCTAGGAATAGTACATCAGTCTGTGCCAAAGTTATTATTTTATTAATGTAAACCTGAAGGCAAAAGCTGACCTTTTTGTGTCATAGATTACTTAGTCCTGATCACTATTTCCAGATACTAAGCATCAACGTTTTTCCAAGCTACAACGATTTCCTTCACAAGGTGCAATCATCACATCAGGGCCAGAGTAAGTCACTCCCAATAAATCAACAAGGCGCATTGGGGGTTGGTGCTCAAGCAGAAACAACTGAGCGGGGGTAGATATCTGCCGCCATCTGACAGCAAGAGCTTTGCAAGCTTGCCTTAATCTCACAAGGAGTTTTCTCAACTAGTGAGTTCAGGAATGGCTCCCAACAGTCTTCAAAGATCAGGATTTTGCCAGGTGCAGAGGTGTAAGGGTTCATTTCCCATTTACTTCTCAGCCGCTGGAAGCCGGCTTTTGCCTCCACATCTCACTTCCAATCCCTGTCATTTCCTAAAAGCTAAATCCACCATCTTACTTCTTTAGTGTCTTTCTTCAGGAGGCTTTCTCTTCCCTTGGATTCCAGACCAGTGTTCTCTCTTCTGTCTCAGCTTTTTTCACTGATTTCTCTTCCTTAATCCATCCCTTCATTGTAGACATCATCTAAATTCCTGTCCTTTATCTTATTCTCTTCTCACTTCACCCTCTTCCTAGAAGACCTTATTCTTCTCCATGATTCTGTAATCTCTATAAAAATGATTTTCATATCTCCATCTTTAGCCTGGACATCGTTCTTGAAACTCAGAGCCATAATTCAAAATTCTCTCAACAGATTCAACTAATAGTTACTGAGGCTCTACTAGACTCAGTGTTAGCTACCTCCACACACATTCCCAATTTAACTTAATCTAGCACATGCAAACCCAAACCAATTTTCTTTTTTTTTTTTTTTTTCCTTATATTTATTCCTTTTAAAGTTCCTTGCTCTGTTTGGTAAAGTTTCTAGAAGCGACTTGCAGTAATAGTGCCAGGCAGAGTTAGAGTCCCTCTCCAAAGCTACTATGATATTTTGTACTCATCAACTACTAAAATGTTAGGCTTCTCTGCCGGGCAGATTTGAGAGGGGAAAGCAGAAGCTACTTGTACTTGTTTCATGTACCTGCCCTGCCTTTAAAACCAGGAGAATTCCACAGAACCTGGTTCTCCACCACACCAGTCTCCCGACACTGAGTGTCAAATCAATGGAATAATGGAAATCTCAACTGAATAAAACCAATTTCATTGCATGGCATTCAAGGTCTTCTGTTACGCAGTCCCAGTCCACTGCTGGGATCACCTCTGTGCAGACCGGGCTCTTCCTGAGCAATCTCTGCTCCTTTCAGCCTTGGCGCTTAGGTTCTTACAAGTGCCTCATTGTGCGAAATCCTTTTCCTATTCACCGGATAAAAATCTGTATCTTGGCTAAGGCACACATCAAATGCTACCCCTCTATGGTAAAATTCTCGTTGATTCCGCAGTCAAAATGTGCACCTTTCAGACTACCCCACAGAATGGAGTTTGTATCTCACCCAAGGGCTGCTTTCTATTCTGATGATTATGTGTTTGTCTGACTCTCACCAGACTGAGTGACCACTCCAACTTCAAAATTGTGCCATAATCAAATATTCATACATCCTGTTGAGTTCAGAGCAGTATTTGTTGTATAGGCAATAAATATTTAAGAATTTTAAAAATATCTGATGTGGTTTATAACCAAATGTATGGTTTTTTGTAGGTAGCTTTCAACTTTCTCCTTTTACAGTTCAGGTCCCATGTAAAAAATTCAAGAAGGTCCCTTTCTATGATGTTAGTGGCCACAAATTCTTTTTGATAACACAAACACAAAATGGCATAAAATAGCAGACCCACATTTCAGTGATGAGGTTACCAGTTAAGTGCAAGTTACAGAATTTAAGTTTGGAAAATACAGAATAAATACTTTATTACAATACACTTTTGGAATTCCGAAATTAATAATGGTGCTTCACCTAATCCTACATAAGTTTGGATTTATAGTAATTTGTAATTTTGCTGATATACAAACACCTATCAATTTTTTCTACTTCAGGGAAAATCATATAGATAGAATGTGAGCTTAGTCAAGGGTCCTTTATCTGAATCTGTGAGGCTCTAGAATGTTAAGAGCTCTTTCAGTGACACTGCAGCTGCCCTATGAGAACAAGTATTGGGAAATGTCCGGTAAAAGTTGCTGATCACAAAAACAGTAGCAGTGGGTTGGGAAACGCACTGGATTAAGCATAAAGAGATCCAGACTCTAAGCACCCTCTGTCCCCTAGCTTGCTTGGGGCATTAGGCCTCAGCTTTTCACTGATACAAAGAGAAGGTTGGGCTGAACTATAAAGGTCTCTTCATGTCTAGGATTCTAATTTCTACCAGAAATTTCTTCTTTGTCAGCTTTAAAGAAGTAATTTCTTTAAGCATGTGGTTTTATTTAACTTAATTTTGTTTGTATCTAAATAAATGAATACCAAACAGATAAATGTAAACAATACGGTTGGAGAGATAAACTGAGCATCTCATTGGATAAGACTACTCAGGGCTTGAAAACCATGCGAACCACACCCAAAATCCTTAAGAGCCATCGAAGACCAGATGGTTATGGTCTTCCTTTTCCTTATGAGTTATGTTCATGTCTTCAAGGATCAAGATATTCAGAGAAAAACAAAAACAAAAAACAAGGATACAAACATAAAACCATATAATCCTCCTTAAAAAACCTATATAACCCTAATTTATTAAGGTTATTAGTATAAACTATTTATTTTTTAAATGTTCATACTTATTTATTTTGAGAGAGAGAGCATGAGAGGGAGAGATGGGCAGAGGGAGAGAGAAAGAATCTCAAGCAGGCTCCCCGCTGTCAGCACAGAGCCTGATGTGAGGCTCGATCCCACAGACCACAAGATCATGACCTGAACTGAAATCTAGAGTCAGATATTCAACCAACTGAGTCACCCAGGCACCCCTAGTAGAAACTCTTTAAACAATAAATAGTTCTTAATTCTTTTCACTGGAAAAAAACTAGAAATAATGACCAGCCCTATATAAATAAGCACATTTTCTGCCCAAATTGTGATCTCTACCCACTATTTATTTTGAAGAGATTTATGACTAAAGTTTTGTAAGGAAATGTAAAAGATGAGCCCATCTTGTCATAATTGAAATGCATCAAATATGTGAAAGTCCATGAGCTTATAATGATATTAAATAAAGGGAAAAAAATTAAGCTTGTCTTTCCTGGACAAACTTTACCTAAGGGTAACCTAGTAATTAATGAGGTAAAGAGTCTCTACACAAATATTTCAGAAAATAAATGAAGAACAAATGATAGGATTAGCATAATACCATTTTTCCAATATCTAATGAAATAATGGGTCTAAGTAATGATCGTTAGACATTATGTGCTCTTGACAAGAACTAATTTTACCAAAATACCAAACCTTTCTCAGACCAATTTTTAGATGTAACTATCATTTTACAAGATATACGAAAGGTAGGTGAAGAGGTTAAACAGGGACACAATGAGCAAATACAAAACGTAGTAAACTCTATAGAACAAATGACCAGGTTTCTTAACAAAAAAAAAAAAAAAAACCTTAGAGAAAACAAGGAAGGGAAAATTTTATGTTAAAAGACCTATCAACCATATTCAATCCTGATTCAATAAACCAATTGTTTAATTTTAAAAAAAAAAAATCTTTGGAGATCATTGGGAATAATGATTTCTGTAAATGGTATGTTATTACATTATTGCGTTTTCCAAAAGAGCCCTTATCATATAGAAATATATAATGAAATATTCACAAATGATGCCTGGGATTTCCTTTCACATAAATCTAAGTGTGTATGGGAGTATGGAGAGGTAGTGATAAAACAAGAATGTCCATAGTTGATAATTATTGAAGTTAAGTGATGGTCCTTGGGGATATACTGTACCCTTCTCTCTACTTTTGTGTATGTTTGAAACATTTGTTAATCTTGAAATTTTCTACAATAGGAGATAGTAAAACACATACACACTCCCACACATTAAATGTTTTTTATAACTTAACATCTGTACTCAGATGAATTAACGTTCACCCAACCACCTAATGATGAAATTCACCATAACAGACACACTTATTATCATTAATTATTCTTCTTGTAGAGGAAGGAGCCATTAAGAATCAGCTTTTAGAAATCCAGTTCAGCTTCATACCAGAATGCATCTATTTGTTGAACTATTTCTCAATAAAATCGGAAGTATGAATTTCCACTTCAAAGTGTTTACTAAAAGTAAGCTTCACAATTACTATTTTACTGATTTACATTAGGTCAAATGCTATTTATTTAATTTACAAATTGGATCACTGACTCCAAATAAATAAGCACAGGTAATGCAAATATACGTTGCAAATGAGCGAGTAAGCCCAGGAGAAAGGTGTGATAGAGCAATGCCACTTACCTAGCTGTCTCCTCAAATCGTATATCATCCACAGAGGCTGTAACGCAGGAAACCCCAGCATGTTTTTCAGCTTCAAAAATTGGTAAAAATGTGTTACATTAATAGTTTAAGTATTTCAGCATAAGGGAAAAAGAATAAGAGTTAGATGGATTTATTCTAGTAATCAGCCTCTGGTTCAGTGAAGTACCACCATGCCCACACTTATAGATGATCCGGATCGGTGACAGTTCTTTTGCTCTGTAAGTTGTACTACTACTGAATGGAAATTATTGTATTTTCTTCCAAGTTTTAACTTACATGGTCTTTGATTTGAAATTCAATACCAATACCTAGTATATCTAGCTACTGAAATAGCAATTTTAGTAAGTTAGTGCCAATTTTAAATATTTTGTCAGATACTACCCTTCTTTTGTTTTAAAAACAATGCATCAAGCTGATTATATTTAGACCACTTAACAAGTATAAGCACTGAATAGTATGGGAGACACTCACATCAGACCCCAAATCAGAAAGCAACATCTCTTGAATATCAGAGAAATATTCAGCATCTATTAGGTATTTAGTCAATATTTATTGTTCATTATTACCAAGTTCGGTATGCAGTAGTTATGTTGGAGAGGAGAGTATTAAATAGGGTGGAAAGCAATTAGGGAAGAACCTTGCCTATTTCTATATTCCATGCCTGAATTTAATTTGTTGAGGTATTTTTTGATTGTTGATTTTGCTTTATATACAAATATCAGAACTTTTTCTCTTTAGGAAAAATGCTGACATGTGCTTCTGTCAGAATTTGATTTTGACGAAAAGTCAGTTAAAACAAAACAGACTGCACACTGACTTTTTAAGAGCTTTTAACCTCATTTTAAATTGGGAGACCTCACTCTTGCTGTCACATCATGAAAAAGAAAGAGACAGTGCATTCTACTGAAGTTGTATTCTTTGTGTGGATTACTTTAACTACAGTATTAATTGATAGTGCCAGGTAAAGAGACATGAGAAAATACTCCAGAGCAGCTATTTAGAGTACTCTTCTCTATAACCTAATTTGTAGAAAATTGGACATTCTGGTTTTACTAGTTGGAAATAACTAGCTGTTCTTTCAAACATGCACATAATACAAACTGAATGACCAGAAAACTAACCATAGTCAGTGTGTGATTGATGGAGAGGGGATGATTGTCTTCCCAGCTATAAAGTTTAGTGAGAGAAAGGGAATGTAAAAATATCAGACTTTAGAAATACTCAAAGTAGGCTCAACTGAATTCAGTGTATCAAACATTTGTTAAATTCCTACTGATTACCAAACACTGAGCTGAGTCAGTCTTATCTCTTAACAAGTCTGCTCAGTGGCAATTACAGAGCCAGCTATAGAAGGTGCCGTTTTAGAGCTTAAGATTTCCACAGAAATGTGTACCTAATACACATTCATTCTAGTTACCTGACACGAAAAAACAGGATGTTGAGTTTATAAAACTATTCTTGTTAAAAAAAAAAAAAGTTACCCTGTATGCCAATATGAGTGACCAATTTTGAATCACTTAAATGATAACCAAAGCGCAATAATCAATAAGTCTAAATTTTTTATTTTTATGTATTTTGATTGTATATATCGAGTATCTATTATGTATATGTAGCACTATCTTAGACTGCATTAGCGATCATGAACAAATATTATAATAATAGTTGCCATTTATTAAACATTTATTATTGACCAGGCACTGAACTAAGTATTTATGTATGTCAATTACATGAGGTTGGTACTGTTACTAGTTTCATTTTACAAATGAGGAGATCCAGGCTTAGAAAGATTGAATGCAATGTCCTCAATAGTGATTTTGACTATGGAAGCAACAGAAACTCTCAGAAAAGACCAACCAAGGAACACTGTCCAGAGAAGTGCTTAGCTAAAGATGGGCTTCAGATGCTCAATAGCCATGGTTTACACTATAGACTTTAAAGGGTCATTAAATTAAAACTAAAAAATAGAAATATGGGGAACCAACACAGGAACACAATTTTTTTTAAATGTTTTTATTTATTTCTAGGAGAGAGAGAGAGAGACAGCATGAGCAGGGGAGGGTCAGAGAGAGAGGGAAACAGGCTCCAGGCTCTGAGCTGGCAGTCAGCACAGAGCCCGACGCAGGGCTCGAACCCACGAACCGTGAAATCAGGACCTAAGCGAAAGTCGGATGCTTAACCGACTAAGCCACCCAGGCGCCTCAGGAACACAATTTTTATTTGTGATTATATACAATTGTTTTTTTTTTTTTTAAACAAGTGTGTCAGATATTAATTTGATAGGACCAGCTTGCTCTGGTTCTTGATTTTGATGGTCCTTCATACAGTATGCTAATAAAAGTGGAAAATCTCTAAAGCTATTACTGATTTCCTGGGGAAACAGATAAGCTGGAAACAGTATGAGCACATAGAGGAGGAAGTAAGGTAGAGAGAGGTATCAGGAATGGATGACTCCTAGATTTTTGACTTGTGTTACTGGATGGACTGCATGCCATTCCTAAGAGAGTAAACCCTGGAGGAGATTCAGAAATGAAATAGAGAAAAAGGTGAGTCTGTGATATTTCAACATAAGAAATGAATATGAAGGTTGGAAAATGACTCAGATATGGTTTGAATCCTCTAAGCTTAAGGAACTACCAGAAAAATAGGACTACTGACAGAAATGAGGTTTAATGCCAAAATGATGGTGAACATATTTAATTTTTATTTAAATACTGAGAAGATATTTCAGAATCTAGCAGTGCCAGGGGGTTACAGCAGAGCCTTAGGTCTATGACTGTGATCAATATTTATCATACTAATGTGCCTGTAGAAAAGCACTGGTCAACAAGGAACTCTGGTTGAGAAAATGTCAGGAAAACCAGTTTCTGTACTATTATTACCATAGAAAGGAAAGCACTATGGTGGAGCATTTCTCTGCCACAGATTCTGTTGGACCTTAGTTAAATAATGTCCTTTGCTTATGTGATGCTTCTCACCACAGAGTGTTTAACACAGGTATTTCCATGTTTCCAAACTAACTTTATAATGAATGTTTCTTTAAGGCTGTATTATTAGTAACATAGCTATTAATCTAAAGCACTTGGTAACCAATTGAATCAGTCTATGGTCTGAGTTTCCAAAGATGTAAAAAGGCAGACACTTTTATGACAATTGCAGCACAGCAATTGTTTATTCATTACAGGACAGAAGCACTAAATGATCATTTCATTATTCACATAATGTATTCAGTTGCCTTGGTAATAGGCGTCATTTTTATTAGCAACCTCAATGATTTTTTATACTTGTTTCCCTTAGATGTGAATTAATTTTACATTTATGCTTTCATCATTTATGTTATTATAATCAACTTCAAATACTGATAAAAACTGTTAAGAGAGAAACCAAACAGACCTATCAACAAACAGAAAACAGAAACGAACAGATTGGCATAAATATATGACTAAATCTTTTGGACAGCTAACACACAGGGGATTAGAAACTCTATTGCTACTTAGTGAGGAAAGCGGGTTCTGTCATCATCTGAATTTTACTTTTGTCCTCTGTAAAATAAGAATCCTAAGATACATGATCTTAAGCTCCTTCCAGCTCTAGGTTTTAATCCTAACATATTTTCCTTCACAATATACCTTTGCCGAGTCTGTTAAGTGCCTTATGCAAAGCCTGACTTCATTTTAGAAATGAGATTCCAAGTTTTGGACCCATTCATCATCAACCTACCTATCCATAAAAGCAGAAGGTTTTTATTTAGCGCTTACTAAGCACTAGAGAACTAGATTTACTTACATGTGAATTGGCCAGGCAGAAAATAAAGAGGTGAAGAGATCAACACACAAAATAATTACAGACTTTGCTAGGGAGTATGAAGGAAATAAAAAAAAGGGCATTCTGCTAAAACTGCAGGAAGGCTACAGATGTAAACAGGTGGTCAAGAAAGGCTTCTCTGAGGAAAGGCTATTTAAGCTGAGATGTAATGCATGGAAAGGGCAAGAGAAGAACATAATGGCAAAATCAGAAGCAGGTGCAAAGGTCCTGAGAGGAGACAAAATAAGGGTGTAGTAGCAACAAACTGAATGCAGGAGCAGATATAAGAAGGGAGTAATCTATCAAACTACATAGTAAAGAGATTTGCAAAACCGGAAAATAGCATGCCTTTAAGCATATATTTATTAGTGTTGAAAATTAGTTATTTTTCAATAAAATTATGTCATGGGTTTATTGTTGTTCTTTTTCAATGAATCCATTTTAAAAGATTTCGAGGGGCTCCTGGGTGGCTCAGTCAGTTGAGCATCAAAGTTGGCCCAGGTCATGATCTCAGGGTTGCTGAGTTTGGGCCTATCATCAGGCTCACTGCTGTTAGCGCAGAGACCACTTGGGATCCTCTCCCCACCCCAACCCCCACCCCTCTCCGTGCCCCTACTCAGTTTGTACTCACTCAAAAATAAAGAAATATTTTTAAAAATAATAGAAGATTTTGAATATGGTCAGTATCAACAAAATAAGCCGCATAAACAAAAGCTCGGGGTCCTCCCTTATTTAAAAGGGGTAAAGGAGTCCTAAGGCTAAAAGGTTTGAGAATCACTGGTCTAGGTCATTTCCGGTGTTGCATGAACCACCTCCATCCTTGGGGTCCCCAGCTGCTCACAACTGTAAATACCTCCCCTCCCCGCCCTTCTTCGGTCTTCTCAAGGATCCCGGGTCCAGGAACGGTGCGGGCTGCGGCGCCAAGCGTCTGCTTCCCCACCGGGGTGGTCTCGGGATGCACTCGTGTCCCCACCGCCACCACCCCACATCCCGGTATCCAAACCCGTCCGCCAGTTCCCACACACGTCGAGGCCCCCCTCCCCCCACTACCAAACACACGCCCGCCACCCCGGCCTCCCGCGCTCCGCTTCCGGCCCCCCACAGCGCCGGCCCCGTGGGCCCCCTACCTGCCAGGCAGGCGGTGGCGTCGATCCACTTGAGCAGCTGGCCGGCGCTCAGCTCGCCGCGCTGGTTGGCGTGCGCGGGCTGGACGGCCTGGCTCATGCGCACCTCGCCGGGCGCCGGGCGCGCCATAGCGGGGAGCCGAGGGCGTCGGGCCGCGTCGGTCAGCGCGGAGCCCGCGCTCGCTCGGCAGGGCGCCGGCGCCGCAGCCCCGGCCCCCACCCCCGCGCGCCGCTGGCCGCCCGGGCTCGCCCGGGGCACTGGGACGTGGGATTTGAGGTGCCGCGAATATCGCGAGGAGCGCGAAAGAGAACTCTCTTCGGTCTCAGAAGCCAAATGCGGGGCCACCGAGGTTGGCAAAGCTGGACGCAGCCCGAGTCTCGTAACTGTAAAGGGAGGACAGCAGTACTTAGGTCAGAGGACTGTGGAGAGAATTAAATGAGGTGGTGTACGTTACTCGTAGCGTGTGCCTGGCTGAGGTGATGCAGGTGTTTGCTAAGTAAACAAGTAGTGGGGTTAACATCCATCTGAAGAACTGGGAGGTTAAGGATTGATCTGTTAAATGCTGTCCAGAGAATGCAGACATTTTGCTTTAGGAGAGTGACTACCTTTTCTTGCCCCCTGGCTGTACCGCCAGGTAGAGTGGACACTCCTCAAGCCCTGGTTCAAAATACACCTTCTGATCCTTAGGATGTTACAATAGCTCCTCCAAACCCTTTGTTATTGATCAGTCTGTTTTGAAATTACCCCCACTGCCAAGCAAACACAAAGTGCTGATGTTTGCAAGCACATCAGAGTCACTTAACAAAGAAAGGCAATCTTTTGGTTTTAATCTAGAGAATTTAAGATTAGAAACTGTCACCTCACTATTCATGATCCCAGCAAATCCCAAGAGACTCTTATCTTTTCAGGAGACAAGATCTAGAACATTAAATGAGAATTTTCATTCTCATCTGTTAACACATAAAAGCGGTTACACTTTCTAGAGCTGAAATCAGTGACTTTACAAAGCAGTGCTCATTCAGAAAAATAGTGACACCAGAAAACCTCTAGCATATAACAGATTCGTGGGTACGGTATTGTTAGGGCTGGCTGCACCCAGGAGACCATTTGCAGGTGAAGAAATGGAAGCCTGGAGAGATGAAGCGACATGCCAGGCATGCGACTGACATAATAGGAATAGCTAAGAAAGTTGGAGCAGGTGGCTTGAACTCAGGACTCCCGATTATCCAAAGTAGCTTACCACAAAACCTAAACCCTTCCAACAAATTGGTGATGCTTTCTCATCCCTGTGCAGCTTACTAAGCCTCAGCCTAGAGACATTGGAATGGGAGATTCTGGTAATTCTGCTTCTCTTTTTAAAGATGTTTTCAAAGAGGTTTCCATCCCACGTAAGTATACATACAAATTGGATGCTTTGTTAGGCAAGGATTAAGTTTGGCTTTTATAAAAAGCAGAAAAATGACTTTTTGTTTTAATGTTTTAAATGTTTTTATTTATTTTTGAGAGAGGGAGAGACAGAGCATGAGCAAAACAGGGGCAGAGAAAGAGGCAGACACAGAATCTGAAGGAGGCTCCAGGCTCTGAGCTATCAGCCCAGAGCCCAGTGCGGGGCTGGAACTCATGAACTGGGAGATCATGACCTGAGCCAAAGTTGGATGTATACAAATGACTTTTTAAAACAAAGTAAAACCCATGCCTCCAAGATGGTTCTCATATGCAGTCATATACTTATTTCAATAACAATGTTATGACTCATATCACCCCTCTTTGGAAAATGCCTCTTGAGTTCTTAAAACCATTTTTGGCAGATCATAGTATTTAGTACATATTCATTGTTCACTGATAACTTCATGGGAGGCACTTATTAATGTTGGGCTTGGGCCACATGACTTCCTCTGGAATGGAACGCGGGGAGTTAAGGGTGTGCCAGCTCCAAGCCTAGCCCTTCCAAGCACCACATGTTCCTGTTCTTGGGAATGTCTGACTTCTGCCATGGGGAGATTTTATGCCTCAGTAGCTTTCCATATCAGCGTCTGGGTGCTGTACTGAATTCACCTATTGCAGAACCATGCACCCAACCTATAGACTTGCAGTGTGAAGCTGAACTGCCCAGCAGGCAGGCAGACTCATGAATGAGATATAACTACTTACTGTTGTTATGTCCTGTGATGTGGGAATTATTTGTTGCACAGCCATAACTGATGGTTACATGTATGGATTTCATTTATTAATGTTTTAGGAAATGTATGAAGTGACCAAAAATAAGGTTTGTGTCCTGTTGGTTTTATTATTTTGGGTTCAAAAATGGCGACTAACGTAGTAATATTATATATGTGTTCATTTCTTTGGTTTCCTGTAAACTAGAGGAATTTTAAGCATAGGTGTGAGAAGGTAGCTTTCCAAAGGGACTATCTGGAAGGGGGCAGCTTGTATCCGCATATGTATGTGTAGGGATGTTTGATCCAAAAACAGATGAGTTCACACACTCACTATTGTGTTTTCTGTTGTGTATTATCTCCTATTTAGATGTCCTTTGATTATGGTTTCATATCTTTTGTTGGTTTCTCACCGATTTTTGTTTTCAGCCTCTGCCTGAAACTACTATTCTTATGTTTTTCTGAATGGTCTCTTTTTCTCCCACACAATGAAAATGTCATCTGCATGTGTGAACATTTGCTATATCCTTTATCTGTCTGTCAAGGATTTTTGCTATTATGTTTAAAGAAAAGGCTTCCATTTCCCATTTCTGTTTAGAGCCATCTTTTGAAGACGAGCAGAATGTGAAGCCAGCTTGATTTTAAAAGGTCACACACAAGAGCAGGGAAGCAGATCAGGAGGAGTGTGGAAAGTATGATAATCACTAGAATAATGAGAACTTCTTTAGAATGTTGAAGTAGGGAGGAAACTCGACAGTCTAACCCCCTCATTCTGGAGATGAGGAAATGAAGTGTTTGCCCTGGGTCACATTGCAGGGTAGTGGTCAGGCTTCTAGAAAACTGAGAACAAGGGACATAAAATATAAGAAGAGAGATGGAAAAGAAGTGCTTCCCCAAAGCATATCCACCAAACAGAATTTGAAAGCAGTTTATCTGGGAGGAAACTGCAGAGAGCATTGACAGGGAAATCAAAGTGTGGTCCCCAGACCAGCAGCAGGGCCATTCCTAGGAGCTTGTTCGAAATGCAGAATCTCAGGCCCCATCGCACACCTCCTGAATTAGAATCTGCATTTTATTAAGACTCTCATGTGAGTCATAAGCACATTCAAGTTTGTGAGGAACAGTGTAAGTTACCCCTCCTGGAGACAGAGGAGCTGGAGGATAAAGACTTCATTGACTAAGGGCTGCTCTGGGGAGCATTAACTTCCTAGCATTTATGCTGACTGCAGGGCAAGAGTGCTCAGACGGAGCTCTGCCTCAGTAGTCATTAAGACACTGACAGTTTGTACTGGGCACTGGCATAGTGAGCGCTCAGGGAGTTCAGGCAAGGCACAGGAAGCCATGACACTTACACTGTGCTGAATATCAGAGGCAGCTGGGAGTCTTTTCATTTTAGGAGATGAATCCCAGGCAGAGAGTTTGGTGGCTCAAAGAATTTCATGTGGAGATGAACTTTATTAGTTATCAGACCCTATCTCTACCTTTGGTATGTTACGAAAGGTGTCACGTCAGTGTTTTCAAGTTCAAATTCCAGTTATAAGGATGCAGTTCAAAGTTTAAATACAGAGTTCCTAAGCAAAAATTCTGGAATGGGCTTTCTTATAGTTCAGTTGCCAACTTTTTCCAGGGTCTCTTCCTCTTCTTTGCTCCTGGACCCTACTCTTGGGATCAGTCTCCCTTGGGGACATTGGACTGTCCCATTTAGCACCTGGGGCCTCAAGCCAACCTTTCTCCTGTTTGTCCCTGTGCTTCCAGTGGTCCCAGCTCTCAGAGAGATAAGCGGTGTGAAACCTGGGAGTCACCTAATGCATGTGGAGTGTAGCACTTTATTTCATTTGAACAAAAGCCGTGTATATAGAGTCCAGTTGTTTCACTTCCCCCAAATTGCTGGGCCCCACCTACATCCTAGGCACGATGAGGGACTACAGTGATTGTTTCCAAATATTGAACCAGGCTTGCATCCTAAAATAAACCCCTCTTGGTCATGATGTATAATCCTTTTTATATATTGCTGAATTCTATTTCCTAGTATTTTGTTAAAGGTTTTTATATCTATATTTTTGAAAGCTCCTGGTCTATATTTGTTTACTTTCTTGCCTGCTTGCTACTGTCTTTGTCTGGTTTTGATGTTCCATTCATAAAGTGAAACAGGAAGCATTCCCTCTATATTTGGGAAGACATTGAGTAGATTTGGTGTTCTTTAAATGTTTTCTAAAATTCTCCAGTGAACCCATCTGAATGCTGGAGATTTTTTTTTGATAGGTTTCTAAATTATGAATTCAAATTTTAAAAATAGTTTTAGAGCTACTTGACTTAGTTGTTTGGTATGGGGTGAGTTGTGGTAGTTTCTGGCTTTAGAGGAACTGGTCCATTTTATCTCAGAGACAAAGGTAGAGATTGAGCTAACATCTGATGGCAGAGCCCTCCTATCTCTTCTTGGCCCCTGAAGCTGACCTTCTTTGCCTCTAGGTTCACTCAGATCCCTCAGTCTCCTACCCTCAGCATTTCCTTGCTTTCTAAGCTGACTCTTAACTAATGCCCTCCCTGGGAGTTGCTCTCTGGCAACATCCTCTGGCCCTTCCCAGGCATACTGAATACATACTGAATCAGAAACTGTGGAGTAGGGGCAATGGTCTGTGTGTTGGAACAAAAATCGCATGTGATTCTGTTGTACACTAATGTTTGCTGTAGTGTCTTTTGTTAAAGGGATAGAGCTCTCATCGCAGTCTTTTCCCAAGCATGCATTCAGCTTACCAGGGGCCCTTTACAATCACTAAAGGAAGCAGTGATGCAGGAGAAAGAGTCACAGTCTTGGTCCAGAGAGATGTGTTTGTATCTGAGTTGGACTCTCCTCTTACTGGTGTTGACCTTGAATATGTCACTCAGCTGATGTGAGTTGAGAACTCAAGCCCAGATAATTTTCATCAACACTCATAACATGCTGCACAGCCATGTGAAGTGTGGGGACTGTTA